TTCTTACGTATGTACTCGTATGAACTTGTTGCCGCCAATGTGTGTTTCGGTTTTGCTGCTGTGATCCGTTTGTTCTGGATGAAACTTTGGATATCCATAAATTCCACACCTAATGGGCGTGTTAACCACAAATAAAAGTACAATGCCAGAATCAGTTGTGCATAAACATAAATAACAAATTCGCGAAAAAGAGTATAACAACAACAGCAACAATACTGGGCCAACCGCCGCCACCATCTGGTGTTGGAGATGATGGTGGTGGTGGTGGCAGGTAACGCTAAGAAGCAATTGTAAATAACAAACAAATAATCACCATTGAGAAATTCTTCTTTTCCTGATTGGAGCACATAGCGATTTGGGGAGGTGAGGTGGGGATAGAAGAAGAAGAAGATTCTTTTTTTGTTGCTTCATATAATGAAAATGTGCTGAAAAATGGAAAACAATTGGTGCTGCAATTTTCTGCGCGTTAGATGGATGCGATTCTATTAGATATGTGTCTGTGTTTGTGCGAGTGTGTGCAATAATTCGAATCTTCAATATTTGATTTATGCCCGCTAAATCAATAAAATAGATCAAGTGCCGTAACCACTTTTCTCAGTGGAATTTATGGCATGAAATATATGAGAAAAATTTTTTTAAAAGAAGATTGTTGTTTTAATTTTTGTTGCAGTTGAAAAAAAAAAACGGTAAGAAAAATTGCATTGGGCAATTAGAAAACAATGCATTTGAAATGGCCTATCTTGGATAAATGAACGGTGGGCATGAGGTCAACTTTGTATTGTGCAACTTTCAAAACGCACCAACACCTTTAACACCATTGCCAATAACTATTAATTGTTATTAGGGAATTATAATTAATAAAAGCTAAACTAAAGTCACCGAACAATGAACGATTAGATAGCAACACGATGCAACAGTAAAGGTGAAACAATACTTAATGGAATTTTTCAAACGCTTGCGCCGATAAGTTGATGATGATCTGTCAAAATGTAACCCAGCAAACAAGCTCACTGCAAATCTAATGACTAACCCACTATTTTCACAAGATCTTGTCTCAAAAAATAAGTTGCTATTTCTTGGCCATAAATTCCTACTTATTTGGAGTGACATACCATTGTTCAAATAATGGTAATCCGATTTTTAATGAGTTTTCTTTGTGGGGCGTCTAGCTAATATATGTCAGTAGGGTTTCTACACTCAAAAAAACCAAAATACAACATTTGTAGTAAAATCAATGAGAACCCTCGAAACAAGGGAAATCAATAGCATCATATGTAATCGATGCTACAAAACGCAGTCCCACATCGAAAAGTGTTCCACGCCCAAATCACCTTAAACCAACGATATTTGAAGTTATTCAAAGCTCTCAATAAATATTTATTATGTTGTGTTCCCTTTGTGTATGGTCAAGGCTATATAAAGGTCCTAAGAACTTTGGAGTTTTTCATAATTTAGGCTTGCGAAATTGTAAGAAAATTTTCAGTGAATTCGGAATCAGTAATAACGCCGGAAAATGTACTCATCCGAAATTAAACTCAAGTGTTCTAAAAATAAAACGACAGTTTTTTAACTTCTTTATTGGCTCTTGGTGACTGTTTGGTAAGCAATTATTTCTATGACAGGTCCATAATAAAGATGCTGTTTTGTAAGAATGAGATTTTTTCCTGGGAAAAAACAAAAAAAATTAACTCAAACATTCTATATATATTTTTTCTACTTTTTTCATACCCTCCACCATTCTATGAAGGATATATTAGCTTTTAAATTCCATTTGTAATTCATCGATATATTGATGATAATAGACCCTACATATTCTGGATGAGCGTATAATTCTAAGACGATGATGTCCGTTTGTCTGTTGTAATCACGCTATCTTTCGAACAAATTGAGATAGAAGGCCAACATTTTACATACATGCATAGTTTACCAGCAGGCAGGTTAAGTTTTTCCACGTTTTCGTAACGCTCCCATATAACGGTAGTTCCCGATATTCGGGTTTTCCATGATTTAAGCGACATTATTCACCGGAATTATTTCAAATTTCGATATTCGGTATTTCCATGATTTTAGCGACATTATTCCCCGGAATTATTTCGAATTTCATATTTTAAATTCGTACTAAGTACTACAAAATCGATGATTCGTGGACAAAAAAAAATAAATAAAAAATATTTCAAAAAAAAACCTTAATTTGTCAAGGATGATCCTGAAAAAATATTTTCAAAAAATAGAAAAAAACAAGTTTTGTTTTGAACACCGTCCACCATTTGGAACAAATTTAAAAATTTTCAAAAATTAAAATACTTCTACAATTCTGTTCAAATTTTAAAAATTCCAAATATATCCGTTATATTGGGGTCTATACGACGTGGACCTACATAGGCATTGTTCGTCATAAGCCATTACCATATTCAAATTCGAAACTTTATATAATTGGTGAATAATGTAGCTAATATCATCAAACTATCGTATATAAGGAGGTACCGTTATATCGGAGATGTGCGAAGACCAGGACCTGCATAGACAATTTTCCGTCACAGGCTGTAGTTCCCATAACGAACTATAGATACGTACTTTGAAACAATTCTGGTGAATAATGACGCTAAAATCGTCAAAATATCGAATATTGGGAGGTACCGTTATATGGGGTATATACGAAGACGTGGACCTGCACAGACAATTTTCTGTCTTAGGGTGTAGTATCCATTTCGAATTTTAAATATCAAGTTTGAAATAATTCCGGTGAATAATGTCGCTAATATCATCAAAATACCGAATATCGGGAGGTACTATATGAAAACGTGTACCTAAATGGACCCATTTACGAGCTTAACCTGCCTACTGAAAAAAAAAAAAACATGTGTGCAAAATTTTAGCCATCTATCTCAATTCATTCGAAAGAGAGCGTGATTACAACAGACAGGCAGACAGACTGACATCGCTAATCGGCTTAGAATTTTACGCTGATGAAGAATATATATACTTTGTTGGGTCTGACATGAGGATTTCGAGGAGTTACAAACGGAATGACAAAGTTAATATACCCTCCATAGTATGGTGGAGGGTACAATAAAAAGAATATAAGTTGTTTTTAAAATAACTTCTGGGGAGAATATCCCAGACAAAAAACAAGGGAACTGATGAGAATTGGTGGCTCTTTTCTAAACCTAGGTATTCACTGCCTTACCATCGTCCTCCACTAATAAACAAACGTTGTTTTATAAAAACAACAACAATATGATTAAGCCTGATAATTTTGCAACAACAAAATTTTTAAAAAATATATTATTCTTGAGGGAAGAGTTTTTTTGAAATATAAATTTGAAAAATTACTTAATTTGTCAAATGAGTAAATGAAAAAAATGTCTCGGGAAAATAGTTTTAAAAAAAACTATTTTAAACAGCCGTTGAAGAATAATAATTTAATTTTGTAAGGATAATCCTTCAAATATATTAAAAAAAACTATTCTTGGCACGGAATTCTTAAAAAAAATCTTTGACAAATCACGATTTATTATGTTCAACTTCATGAAAAAACCAGTAAAGAAAGTCTTAAAGTCGGGCGGGGCCGACTTTATGATACCCTACACCACTTTGCTAATTTAGTAGAGTTCCGCATAACAATTAAATGTTTTAATGGGAGAATTCAATCATACACGCCATTATAATTTAAAGTTCAATGGACAAAATATGCCGAAGCATTTGTATCTTTTAAATTCGGACTTGTATTGCCCATTTGGTGCACAATTAATTTGAAATCGGATAAAAATATATATGGGAGCTATATTCAAATCGGAACCGATAAAATCGGTAATGATAAAATTTGGCAAAGATTTTTCTGAGCTGTATTTGATATATTTCCCTGAATATCGTTGTTACGGAGTGCATATTACGGCTGTGGGTAACAAATATAACAAATCGGATGAACAGTATATATGGGAGCTATAGTTATATCTGAACCGATTTCGATCAAATTTGGCATACTTATTTTCAGGTATACTCTGATCGTACGTGCTAAATTCCATACTATTCGGACTGATATTACACGGTTGGTGCACAATAAAAGGCAAATCGGACGAAGATATAAGCAATAAATGCGAACTTTTGTGTCAGACGGACGGACGGACATGCATAAATCGACTCAGAATGTGAGTCTATGCAGATCATCAAAAGGAACTATGGGTCTATCTTGTTTCCTTTTGTCTGTTTCAAACAAATGCACAAAGACATAATAACCTGACCACCTTGTGGTGTTGGGTACAATTAATAAAAATAGATGATTCGTCACCAGAAAAACTTTAAAAAATATTTTAAAAAATCTGTAATTTGACATACAGGGTTGCCAATATTCGACGGACCCATCTGGCAACGCCATAACTTTTGACAGAGATGTCACATCGCTTGATGACATACCGCGTTTGAAGCGTCAGTCCAAGCAGATTTTTACCATGAAACAATACACTCCACGCGAGCGCTCTGAAATAGTTGAAATTTACGGCCCGTCGAATATGGGCAACCCTGTAGATATTCTTGAGAAGGTATTAAAAAATGTTTCTTGGGCCAAGAATTTTTAAATAATAATTAAAAAACCTCTTCATTTTGCAAATGTGGTACTGAAAAAACTTTCCGAATTTAAAAATTATTTTAAAAATCCACAATTCTTGGCAAAAAAAAAATATTTAAAAAATCAGGAAAAATAACGAGATAATTAAAAATTGAACAAATTTTTCACATAATCTTTATATAGAGGCCCAGCCGATTTTTGATGGTCTTGATCACATTTTCCTGTCGTAGAGCCTGTAATTTGGACTTTTAAGATAGTTAAAAATATCGTATTTCGTCCTCGTGATATTGGAGTAGTCCCCATTGCAAGGCATCCCTTATTATGGAATTTTTAGGGTCCTAACTGAATTTTTCATTCAGTAGCTGATAAATGAATGCAGTAATTGTTTTCAACACATTTTGAACACTGTTTCGATTAAACATTCAAAATTATATAATATGGGTAGAAAAGTATTCAATTTATTTACACATAAAACTAATTAAAAAATCATATTCTTACATATATGTACTTAATCAAGTATTACTAAATTATTGTAACCTGCATTATCTACAAATTATCACAAAAACGTTTCCAATTCTATTTAGGGTTCCCAGTACAATTTATGTTCGACTTTGGTCAATTCACATCTGTCACTTATCCACAAAGTACCATTTTGTCCCATTTCCAAAACTTGCACCAAATGTTCACCAGCTTTGGAAGCGGGTTGACTTGGTGCCGAATATAGTTTGTCTGTCAAAGGCTTCGAATATTCAAAGGTGTCACTAATTTTGGGATTTTTGGTCATGGGACTTTCAGTCATGCCTGGACAGACTGCAGTTACTGCAACACCAGTGCGCTCATAATAATAAGGATCCTAGAAACCAGGAAATCATTAACAATTTCAGTACAAATCACACAGATTTAACAACTTACAGCCAGGGAACGTGTAAAACCCACTACACCAAATTTACAAGCACTGTATATAGAAATGGCTCCGCAGGGTTCCAAACCCACAACCGAAGCAATATTCAAAAGAACACCACCTCGTCCCTTTTGAGATTTATCCATATATGGCAGGGCCTCCAGGGTGGTATTTATCAAACCAATTAAGTTGACATTAACTGCAAATTCAACATTGCGATCGGCAACCACACCGGCGCCATTTACCAATACATCAATATATTGTACACTTTTCACTACATAATCGATGGCATTTTTGATGGATTGTTTATCGGTGACATCACATTTTAAGTAGGTTACTTTGGTATTTTTGTTCAGGTTCTGCAGTAATTGTAGGGCACTGGGGTTTTCCATTACATCCAGAAGGAATAAATTCTAAAGAAAAATACTTGGTGAATCATAGCCTTTCAAAAAAGTTCGTAAGGATAACTTACGGCCAGATTACGAGTCATTAATTGTTTACAGGACTCAAAACCAATGCCACCGAAACCGGCAACAAAAACTAGATTTTTACCACTTAGATCCATTTTAATTTACTCGGGGGCTTGTTTCACTTCTAAAAGAAATTGCAATTTGAATAATTTTCCACAAACATCGCAACTTTATATAGCCACCGAAAATGGAAAGCTGGACTTGTGTTTTAATTTCAAATAGATAAGATATGCTGTCTGTTTGACTATATTCTTGAAAGACGGAACTGATAATACTAATTTATAAAGTAATAATAACACCCGTGCTACAAGATTCAAAATCTTTTTCTAATCTCAGTTTTTCGAACATATGTACTCGATTAGTCAGCACTTTTTTAAATTACCTACCGGCAGCCGTTCGTATGCAGTAACTCAATTTAATATGTTGACAAAAAATAGAAAGCAATAAAAGAACCCGATTAAATGCAAGATAATGAACACAAATTTGTGGACATATGTTTGTATGTCTTGAGTTGAAGTGCCTACACCACACAACCAACCGTCCGTCTGATTCTTTCAATTCATTTAGGAAAATTCCGAACAACAGTAATAACAAATAAACCAAACAAATATCAGCTGTTTTCACATTTGGTGGGCTCGCTTTGATGCTGATTGTGCCCCCATATTGAATTTGTTTGTGTATTGAATACAGTCTTCCACACGTCTCACTAGCCAAAAAATGCGAATTATGTCAACTGCGTGTTGCCAATAGAGATATTGTTTTATATCGTCTAGTTGCCAACTATATTTTTGTTAGACGGTATTATCAACTAAATATGTTATGTCAATTTGATGCATTTGAAATAATTGCAGGGTTGTCAGATTTTTTTCTACCGCCATCGCAAAATCAAGTGTCAGAAATCGCGAAAACGAAAATTCTTCTGTTTATGTCAAGAGATATACAGCATTTAATTTTTTATACCCTTTGGCTAGAGAGGATACATATCATTTGAATGAGAAGAGAAAACTAACCAAATGTTTAGGCTGTTGATTCAATTCTGATTCTATTTAAAAAATATATTTCTTAAGTGGTACTGAAACTAATCTAACTTAACCTAATCGCAGCCACACATTTATTCTTATTTATTCCAATATTGAATGGAGAACATTGCAGGGCTGCTTATCACTTCATTCTAGTGATCTTGTGCATCTACTGAGCGCATCGATATCTGTGCGTGTGGGTCATAACCTTTATTATGTGACACATTATCGTATGCGTCAGCGCACAAGATCACCGAATTGTTCACATGTGGTATTTTATGGCGGCTGGGAAATATGTAATTTTTGAATATTGATTGTTTATTGCTAGTTTTTCCCAGCGCCTCAACCGCACTCAAAAGTATGTACAAAGTATTTTGTACACATTTGATACGGCCAAAACGTATCAAAATAAAGATTTTAGACCCTAGATCCGTTTGGACCAAATCCGTTTCAAAAGATTTGGAGTCGCTCTAGCGATGTCTGCACGTATTTCTGGATGGCTGGCTGGTGCGTACGATAACTCTCGAAGGGAGTATCCGATTTGGTTCGAAAGCGATACATCGTAGTATTATTATCAGACTTAGATCTAGATCGGAGATGAGCAATATCCGCCCACACCTTCTGGAACGTCCTCCATAAAGTTAGAAATTTTCAAAAAAAAAAAAAAAAATATTTTACTACACAGAGTGAGAAATGATAATCCGATTTTGCCTAAACTTTGCAAATCCTAAATTTTGCATCAGTGATAGCTGAGGTGAGAATATTTGCAATATAGGACCACTGCATCCTATATATATTCCCCCACAAAGGGATATTTTGAATAATTATAACTCTTATAAAATGTGATATAAGAGTCCGACTGTCTTCAAATTACACACCATCATGATATTTTTATAAACCCAAGGTCTAGTGTGAAGTTGGAATGTATCGGTCCACTCCTTCTGCTACATCCCCTGAAAAGGGTCAAAGTTTTGAATAACCATAAAATACAAAATAAGCATCCGGTTCTATTCACATTTCACACATCCCATTATTTTCACTAATACAAGATCTGCTGTGAAGATAGAATATATCGGTCCACTCCTTCTGATACCTCCCTCACAAAGGTTCAAAATTTAGAATATCTCTTAACTAGAGACCTTAGATGAATATGGAATTAATGATTTCGCATAAAATTTGATATAAATGTTCGATTATCTTCTCATTTTGCCCATACCAATATATTTATCTGTATTAAATAAAGTATGAAAAAGGAATACTTCGGTCGACTATACGTCGTAACTCACGTACATTTTAACATTTTCTAGAAGTAATAATATATTTCATATAAAGTGAAGAAAGTAGTTGATGTATTCTAAACCTGGCACGTCGCAATATTTATATCACAAAAGCTGGCCTGTCCGCGTAGCCGGCTCATAGTCTTTGTCTTAAATGTATATTTTTGTAGCATTATAATTCCCAGAACTGGCTCATATAAGTGGGACAATTTTTATCATAACGTCTAAAATGTCATTACATGATCAAGTACCGGTCAGCCATAAGCTTTTATTTAAGAGTTGGAAACCTAAGCGATATAGAAAATATATAAAAAATATATATCAACTGTATGTAATAGCCCGTGTAAGATCTCAGCTAACTTTTTAGTATTGTAAAGAGCTTAACAATATTTTCCATTCAAATTAGCTGTAATTTAGAATTTACAAAGATTAGAATTTATTTTTCCACCACAAAATTAGTCTTAATACACATTTTTAGCCAAATCGATTAGATAATGTGGACAAGACCATTGAAATACGTAATATCAGGAGGTACTACCCTTAAACAAAATATACCAAATAAGGAAGAAATCAATTGTAAAATGTGGCTAAGATCCGGAAAACTGGAATAAGCGGATACCTTTATATGAGGGTTAAGCCAAAAACTCAAATTACCAACATTTGCCGAAAATAGTTTGAAAAAAATATAAAAAAAATACTTTTAGTCGAGGTATCCCCTTTATGGGAGCTATACCAAAAAACAGACCGTCATGACCCATATTTTGTACAAATGATACTACGTGTGACCCATAGGTCTATCGTAAATTTTGTAAAGTATAGAGCAAAATATGTAAGGCCCTTTTTGTGTGGTTATGGCTATATATAATGGACCCTAAAAAAGTTTGGCCTGGGAAACCAAAACCCTTTTAGGATTTTAATCAACTAACCGAATCCTATCCACGTAGAATTTCCCAACACCCAGATTGACTGTAGCACAATGTTATTACTTTTATTGTGCGCTAATTTCATTTTCTATATTTTACATTTAAAATTCGAGACAGAAAAATTAAAATAAAATAATTATACTTCAATTTGTCAAATTGAAAAAATGTCGTACGATATAAAAATTGTGAAAAATGAAAATAAAATCACAAAAATATTTTTCGTTCACATTTTTATGAGCGTATTTTTACGCGATTTTATTTATTTATTTATTTTTATACCCTCCACCGTACTATGGAGGGTATATTAACTTTGTTATTCCGTTTGTAACTCCTCGAAATACTCATATCAGACCCAACAAAGTATATATATTCTTGATCAGCGTAAAATTCTAAGTCGATTTAGCGATGTCCGTCTGTCTGTCTGTCTGTCCGTCTGTCTGTTGTCCACGTCGTATAGACCCCAATATAACGGCTATATTCGGTATTTTTAAAATTTGAATATAATTTTTTAAGGATTTTATTTTTTAAAAATTTCCAAATTCGTTGCAAATGGTGGAGGGTATTAAAAGTTCGGCCCGGCCGAACTTACTGCTTTTTAACTTGTTTTTTTTTTTTTTTTTTTTTTTGTATTTTATCCTTTTCTGCCAATTGATCATTCCAAAATAGTATGAATTGTTAAAATCAGGTCAGTCGTTCTTGAGGTATATTCAGTTTTGACACCAAATAATTCGGTACTACACTTCAATGTAATCCGCCTGCAAATTGTTTTCTCAAAAAATCGAGTCAATTCAATAAAGTTAATCAGATTGAAAGAAAAACATTCGTACACGATAAAGTATTAAATTTTTTAGTTCAGATCTGACACTTTTCAGAAATGATATAATTCGTATAGTTCCACTTACCCAATAAATAATAAAATCTATATATAACAGTTTTGTCGATTGTCTCTTTATACTATTCAAAAAAGTCTACATATCATATTAGAATAAAAAAAAACTGTATTTACATTCGAAAATTCTAAGTCCAAATGAAAAAAAATATTGCAAAATAAAACATTACAATTGTACATTCCAAAAGTCAAAATCAAAAATTTCAAATATAACATTTCTACGCGATGTTTTTTTATGGCAATGCATAAAATTAGGATTTTATTTAATTCAAGTAAAAATTCAAGCAAATACGATACAGGGATATGAGGATGCAAAAAAGTAATAACCCTTGTGATCATACCATACCAAGGACGGTCATTCAACAATTCTTGAAAAAATATTAGACATTTAAATTAATCCTTATACTACGAAATATCGGGCTCGATAGGAGAAGGCGTGTAGATTTTCTATGATGATGGAAATTTTCAATTAGCTAAGGCAGTGGTTTTTCGGTATAAAAAATTATCCAATTTCCCCAATTGTCTTCTAATTTGGAATTGCTAATATATGGTGATAAAAATAATATCAAAAAATATATTTATTATCAATTAACCTAACAAACATTTGGAGTATCTTAAAGACTTATTTTAACGCCGTTTCTAATATAAATGCTTGGAGTACTTGATCAAGTTCGAAAAAATATATTTTAATTAAAAAATATAGGATTTATTTACATATAGAATCATATAACAAAACTCATTCTTTCACACATACGCTTATATAAAATTTAAACGCTTGCACAGATTTCTATCATACACAAGCAATCACTCGACGAAAGTTTTTTAAGGTTCCCAGAACAATTTGTGCTCGACTTTCTTGATGGCAAATCTATCAGTGATCCACAAGGTGTCATTTTGGGCCATTTCCAAGACTTGGACCAAATGCTCGCCAGCCTTTGCAGCGGGTTGACGTGGTGCAGAAAAGATTTTGTCCGTCAATGGTTTTGAATATTCAAAGGTATCACTAATTTTGGGATTGGCTGTCATGGGGCTTTCAGTCAAGCCGGGACATAGACCAGTTATGACTACACCGCTGCGATTGTAATAAAAGGGATCCTGGGAACGAAGGATTCATGTTGTGTTAAAATTGTATATCATATTCAGAAAAATTTCACAACTTACAGCCAGGGAACGTGTAAAGCCCACAACACCGAATTTCGATGCACTATACACGGCAATGGGGGGACAGGGTTCCAAACCCAAAACCGATGCAATATTTAAAATGACACCACCTCGTCCTTTCTGGGATTTATCCATGTAGGGCATAGCCTCAAGGGTGGTGTTAATTAAACCAATTAAATTTACATTAATTGTGAATTCAACATTACGGTCGGCAATAACACCGGCACCGTTCACCAATACATCAATATATTGCACCGATTTCACCACATGCCCAATGGCATTTTTGATGGAATTCTTATCGGTCACATCACACTTGATGAAGGTGACTTTGGTCTTTTTATTCATGTCCTGAAGGTGTTGCAGGGCTTGGGGATTTTCCATTACATCCAGAAGGAATAAATTCTAAACAAAAGGACATTGCATTAATTGCATTCGGTGTAATTTCCAAAGGACAACTTACGGCCACATTGCGGGACATTAATTGTTTGCAGGCTTCGAAGCCAATACCACCGAAACCGGCGACGAAAACAACATTTTTACCACTTAGATTCATTTTGTTAATATTTTTCCGAGAGCTTGCAACTGTTCGCAGGGAAAATTAAATTTAAACGATTTTCCACACTACTCACAACTTTATATAGCCGGCGCTGATCGAAAGCTGGCCTTGCGTTTAATTTAAAGGCAAATGTCAAATAGATAAGACATGATGCTTGTTTGTTTATTTGATCATTAGATTCTGTTCCAGAGAGAAAAGTGACATCCGACTGATAGTCTCCCCAGATTATTTAAAATCTTTCTCAAATCATAGTTGCTGTTGTTGTTGTTCACTTCAGTTTTTCGTGCATTGGTACTTGTTGGTGCATTATTTGTTGTTATTATTTGTCATATTATATCAGTATATTTAAATTTACCTTTCGTACACATTTACCTTACCGGTAGCTATCAAAATATTTGTATGCAACAAATATTCTTTTGAAAAATTAAAATTGAAAAAAAAAAGAACGTGAATACATATATAAGATAAGCATATATAAACGTTCTAATAATTCTCAAATGTCTTCTCATAGACGTCCAGAAGTTATTCTCATAGAGGACCAGCAGTTCTTCTCATAGAAGACCAGAAGGTCTTCTCATAGTAAACCGGAAGGTCTTCTCATAGTAACCCTGAAGGTCTTTTCATAGTAGACCAGAAGGTCTCCTAATAGAAGACGAGAAGATCTTCTCGTTGTAGATCAGAGTGTTTTCTCATAGAAGACAAGAAGGTCTTCTTACAGAAGACCAGAAAGTCTTCTCGACCAAAAGGGCTTCTCATAGACCACCAAAAGTTCTCATAGAAGACCAGATGGTTTTTTCATAGAGAAAAGATAAACCGGTCTACTCATATAAAAGCAAGACCAACCGGCCAACATTGAAGGCTAGAAGGCGTTCTCACAAAAGACCAGAAGGTATTCTTCTAGAATACCAGAAGGTCTTCCACTAGATGACTAGAAAGTATTCTCGTAGAAGACCAAGGTATACTTACATAAATTTGGAGCATATACATATCAACTTATAGAAGACTAACCGGAGTACTGAATGAAAACCAAGATCAACAGGACTTCTAACAGAAGACCAGAAAAAAAACAAAGGTCTTCTCCAGAAGATCTTCTCTTGGACATACATATCAACTTATATTAGACTAACCGGGCTTCTTATAGAGTACCAAGACCAAAAGGTCTTATCATTGAAAGTCAGAAGAACAGAATGTCTTCCGATAGAAGTCCAGAAGGTCTTCAGGTGGTTTTATTACTGAAGGTCAGGAGATCTTCTCATAGAAGACTCGATGGTATTTTCATTCGAGAATCGAAATTCTTCTTATAGAAGGCTCTATGGTCTTCTCATAGAAGACTATGGTGTTCCCATCAAACACGCGATGGTGTGTTTTTGCAGATTTTTTTAATTGATTCAGAATTAACAAGGACTGCTTTCAGCATGTGCTAATAGAAATTTCGCCAAGCTCTTATTTTTTTTTTTTTTTTTGAAATTTGAAATTTTTACCTTGATTACGGGAAACTATTTACATATATTTTCTTGGAAGACGGACCCAAAAAATCCGGGGTTCAAGACCCGACATAGACCCGGATCCACTTACCCAATAAAGACAATATATATATCTCTTATGAAAATACCTATCCAACAAGTGGTCACTTGATGGGGTTATTTAAAGCGTTTCGGAAGTTATAGTCAAATTATCGACCAGATCTATTATCAACACTCTTACCGTTCTAAAATGATAAAATTTGTGCTAATAATTTTAGTTTTTTAAATTTAACAGTTGTTGTAAGTAGCCGGCCTTCGGTGTGACCACTTGTTGGATAGGTATATGTATAAACCTATGCTGCCTATGTTGCTGTTATTATTTTCATGGCAAATGTCAAATACAAAATGGTCAAAAATATCAACGTCGACTAAAAAATACAATGTCGTCGTGTCTTTTTACGGCGACAGAAATTCTCTAAAAACGACTTCACGTCGACTGTTGTATCCACAATGATAATAGCAGTCATTCATCGCTATCGACAGAAAACGGCAACCTTAATAACGTTACTGTCGTCTGGACATCATTTTGCGACGACGACAACGGCAATAGGGCCGAATACTTCCCTCCTTTATGTGTAGGGTGTTAGGTGTTCGCCAACGTCCATTTTAATACTCTTTCCAATTAAAAATTTACTTAGCAAAAAAAATTACTAACGCCTGTTTGGACTTTCAATTGATAAAATTTGTTTATACCTACAATCGAATTTGCAAGTCTATTATTAGAAAAGAATCTGATATGGCACTTGATGCAATTCAACAAAAAGTGATCCGAATACTGAATGTGTGCAGTAATAACTGGCTGTGGAATTCACAGGAATTACTACGTAAACAAATTATATTAATTAATCAATCAATCAAATGCCTACACATAAACAATGGAATAATTGAAAGTGTTAAGTTTTGCAATAGATTTACACAGTTGTTTTCATTTAAAAATGGATGCGCGTCAAGCTATCCGACACATTATCGTGTAGGAATTGTTTATTTAAAAAAACACAAAAACAAATTATAAACAATATAATTGAAAAATTTAATAATAACAATGCCGTATTCTGCATGTTGTTTATCAGTGATCAGATGTTCAGAGATCATTCACATAAGTAGTTTAGCTGTCGATTAAAAAAATAGTCATTAAATTTGAACGATCCATCTTTATTAGATTGATAACGTTTAAAATACGTGTCCATATGCTATGAATTTGTATTATAACAGTGTTTTTGTTTTGGATCTTGTTAATCAAGAAAAAAATTAGATTATGCCGTAGAATGATTGAAAGCGACAACTAATCAGATCTTTTGTTTTATTATGACCTCAGCTTTTTGACAATAGAGAGTGTGTATCATTTCATAAAGCAAAAATGTGTCTGCATCGAAATAATGGTTCTAGACACTATGTCTCTCCTTCTCTCAAAGATATTATACTATTTTGAGCCAACTTCCGCATAAAATATTAAAAAATATAGGTCGCACATAATATTTTACATATGTTTTTTTTATTGTTTTTACTTCACAAATATTAAACATTTCAAAATATTGTAGAGTAATACCACATTTAGTTCCGCAGTAAAGTGGAAACCACATTGAAACACTCTTTGAATACCGCCTCTTAAAATATTAAAATTACAGATATTAATATAAACTAAATTTCAAATATAAAAAAATCTATCTATATTGGTTACCTCATTTACTTTATATGAGATATGTGATAATTTTTTAAGAACCAGTGAAGTAAAATATTTATGTCCAATTTTATGCGGAAATCTTAAATTCCGTATTCATCTCAGGTTTCTGGTTGAGTGAAATATTTAGATATAGCAAGCTGTAAAGAATCGCTGACATGTTTCGCAAATTATGACAGATAAAAGTATTGAAAATTGCGACCCTTTGTGAGTAACCAGAAGGGGTTCATAGATATATATCATCTACACAACATATCTTGTGTTTGCAAAAATTGAAGCTTTGTTTTTCAAAATCGTGAACCCTATGTTGGGGAGGTACCAGAAGAAATGATCCGATCTATACCATTGTTATAACACAAATTGTTTTGATGGGAATATTTAGATGGAATGGAATCATATGTTAATTTTGCGTTTTATGAGTTTCATGGATATTCAAAATTTTGACCCTTTGTAGGGAAGGTACCAGAAGTAGTGGACCGAGAATGAGAATCCGATTATTGTCAAAACTGGCACGTTCCAATATCATCAGAAGACCAGGTGTGAAAATGGAATATGTTGGGCCACTTTTTCGCGTACCTTCCTCACAACGGGTCCAAATTTTAAATAAGTATATATTATCTTCAAATTTCTACACATTTTTTTCATCATTTTTTGTTAAGAATTTCAATTTTTTAGAGTTTTAATAGGAGTTTTAAGACCTTCACATCTATAAACCAATCAAGAGTTGTTTTTTTTAAATATTTGTAAAAAACTTCTTTGGTGAGAGTCGTACCATTTCTATAACCATTTTTCAAGAAATTCTGGTCTCTAAATAAACTATGGAATATTTTATTAAGCACAAAATTGGCGATTTAATCGATTTAAAAGGTATTCCCAGACATAAATCCTGATTTTTTCTACATTCTTTAATTGAAAATACCCGAAAAAATCGGAGATTTTTAGGTCTATTTTATTTAAATCCTGCAAAAATTGCTATGTTTTAAGAATATTTTTCAAAGAAATTATGGTGGAAAATAATTATGGACTTTTTCAGGAGGCATTTACAAAATCCTGCAAAACGTGAATTAAAAAAACTTTCCTATTGAAAATGTTGTATATTAAAAAAAAACATTTTTGAGCTTTCCTGCAAAATTGCCTTATTGATAGACTTCCTTATAAAATATGTGTGAGTCATCCTAGACAAAATTGTGGATTCGTAAGAAATATCTCTAAAAATTGGTGAAAAAGGCATTTTTTTAATAACGTGGATATTTCAAAAATATATTTTACAAGGTCTTTCCAGAGGACAAAAAAAAATTACTTAAAAAACCTCCCTGAAAAGAAATTGTAAATGTTCAAAATATTTTTTAAAAAGCCCTTTTATACCCTCCACCATACTATGGAGGGTATATTAATTTTGTCATTCCGTTTGTAACTCCTCGAAATACTCATGTCAGACCCAACAAGGTATATATATTCTTGATCAGCGTCTGTGTGTCTGTCTGTTGTAATCACGCTATCTTTCGAACAAATTGAGATAGAAGGCTAAAATTTTGCACACATGCATATTTTGTCAGTATGCAGGTTAAGTTCGTAAATGGGCCATGTAGGTCCAAGTTATCATATAGCCCCCATATAACGGTACCTCCCGATATTCGGTATTTTGATGATTTTAGCGACATTATTCACCGGAATTGTTTCAAATTTGGCATTTGAAGTTCTTAAGGGATACTACAGCGTAAGACAGAAAATTATCTGTGCAGGTCTTCGTGTAGCCCCCATATAACGGTACCCCCCGATATTCGGTATTTTGATGATTTTAGCGACATTATTTATCGGAATTGTTCCAAATTTGGTATTTGAAGTTCGTAATAGATACTGCAGCATAAA